TAGTGCAGGAGAGGAGGACCCCAGATGAGATGAGTTGATACAGTAACTGGGGCATTGGGGATGGGTGTGTTAGAATCAGACTGGCTCAGGACTGGACAGACTTCATAGCTGCTGTACATAGGGTCACTGTGGGTTGCAGGTGACTCGACAGCACGTAAAAACAACAACACTTGAATAACCTAGCCATTGTTAACAGTGAGGTCAAGCATGTCAGATACCTAGAGGATGGCAGAGAATGAGGCATAGTTTAGATCTATTTTTCATAGGATCCCTATGAGTCAGAGTTGACTTGATGGCAGAATCAGTTAGTAATTTATTACAAGTTTATTACTTGTTTCTTTTCTTATCTTTATGGTAAGGGGTTTTATATCTAGTTTAGAGGAGTTTTTCCTAACCAAAAACCATGAAGAAAATCTATTATTTTTAAAGAACTTTATCATTTTGCCTTTCTGATTTGGAGCAAGTCAACTGAAATTAATTTTTGTGTATAAAGTGTTACCCATTATATGAAAAAATCAAGTAATTCTCTTTCTAGGTTATTTCCTCCATAGGTCCATTTGTCTCTCCTTGTACCATGACTACTATACCATCTTAACCACCACAATATTATAGAAGTCTTAAGATTAAGCAGACTAAATTCTTCTCCCTTCTCTTTCAAGTGGGTCTTAATCATTCTCAAACTTTAATTTTTCCAAGCATATTTTTAAATCAGCCTATTAATTTTCATACTAAAAATAGGGTTGAGATTCAATCTGTACACTGAGCAAATAATTGAAGAAGCTAGCCTCTGTGAAGAAGAATGAGGCATCAGGATTTTTTCATATAATTCCTTGAGACATGTAAAAGAGTGTTTAGAACAATATATTTTAAAGCCCAGACCAACCCCATATCTATCAACAGTGAAATAGATAGTTGTAGTTTTACAAAAGAATCTTAACTGTGACACAGAATGAATTTTAGTCACATACAATAATTTGAGAAGCTGAACTATTCTTCTTTGAAGAAGAATGGGGCCTGAGGATTGGAGAGAGACTCATCAACAACTTAGGTTGCTTAGGTACACAACCTTACTTTTGGCAAGTGAAGAAGACTTGAAGGACTTAACTGAAAAATATTAAAGACTATAGCTTTCAATATGGGTCATACCTCTACATTAAAAAACAATACAAAACACCTCACAACTAGACCAATAAAGCAGTATCCTGATAGATTGTGAAAAGATTGATGTTCTCAAGGATTTCACTTCACTTGAGTCTATGATCGACACTCATGGTAGTTGTAATCAAGAAATCAAAAGACATACTGCCTTGGGCAAATCTACTATTAACACGTTGCCGCACACTTTTAAATTGACGACCTTGCTTAGAAACACATTTTTTTTCGCTATAATCATCATTTGCAGCAATGTGTTAAGGACCTTGTTAAAATTATAAAGAGCAAGGATTTCAATTGATAGACTAAGGTGCAGCTTAACCAAGCCTACATATGCTTTATAAGCATATGAAAGTTAGGCAATAAATAAGGAAGACTGATGGCTTTGAATTGTGATGTTGCCAGAGTATTCTACCATGAACTAGCTAGCAAAAGTACAAACAAATCTGTTTTGGAGGAAGGGAAACCATGATGCTTCTTAGAGACAAGGGTCGTGAAACTTTATATCATATTCTGGGCATATTTTCAGGACATACCAGTCCTTGGAAAATGACATTATGCTTGGAAAAGTAGAGGATCAGCAAAAGAGACAGATTGACACAGTTACTGCAGCAGTGGGCTTGAGCCTGGCAGGAATTATGAGAATGGCACAGGACAGGACAGAGTTTGGATCCGTTGTTCATGTAGTTGCTATAAGTCCTAGTCAATTAAATTATACCCAGCAACAACATAACACAACAATATGGTGAATATTGCCAGAATGTTGAATGAAAGAAGCCACACAAAGACCTAAAAAAAAAAAACCACAAAAAACCCCCCCCAAAACAAAAAAAAAAAGCCCAGACTAAAAAACCCCCACCAAACTATGAAGGTGTTGAAGGCTATATGTTTAGCTATATATTCAGAGAAGTGATTATACTACAAGGCAGAGATGGTTATTATCTTTGAGGAGAATGCAAGAGGGATAGTGGTTGGTTAGGGAGGTAAGAATGTTGGGGATACTTATAGAAGCTGTTTGCTGTGGAACAGATCATTGATCTGAAATACAACAAAAGGAATATGTGTCAGATTGGCATAAGCCTTCTTATCAACAACCCTAACATTAGAAGTCAGTGGCACAATGCCTTTAAAAGTCTGAGAAAAAATTTATTTTTCACTTAGAAGATAAGCTATCAATCAATACAGAGGGCAGAGTAAGATAATTTATCTTCCATGCAGTTATTCTGAGGAAATTCCTTGAAGATATGCTCCAACAAGAAAGAGAAAAATGTATAGACCAAGAAAAGTCAGTGAATAGAAATCCCAATTGCCAGCTATGTAGCAGGCTTTAAAAACAGCACTACACACACACACACACACACACACACACACACACACACACACACACACACACACACACACACACGTCTTCAAGAATAAAATAGATTCCAAACAATGGGTAACCTAAGAAGCTGAAATGTACTAGTGATAGGCTAAAGAAAGTATATTTGTCTTCACTTAATAAAAAGAAAAAATTTACTAGAAACTTAGGAGGAAACCAAATTGTGTTGTAATTATTAAGACAAAAGGTTCTTGGGCAATTAGGGAATGACTATAAGAGAAGAGAATCCATTTGACTTTGGTGCTGGAAGTAATTTCACTTTCTTAATGAGTGTCACTAAGGGTCGTGTGATCTTTAGAAAATTCTGTGTATTCTTAGCTCTGAATTAATATTTACCTGTGCACAGGAATATACATTTACATACATAATTTATTTTCAACTTTTAGACACATCCTAAAGGAAAAAAAAACCCAAGCAATTTAGTTGTAGATACAGAATATTATAAAATGTGTACCATCAAACTTGACCATTTAAGCCAAAAGCTTGTAGGAAAAGAGAGAAGAGTATAGAGAGATGAAGGAAAACGGAATAGAATATAATATTCTTATTTTAGCATCCTAGAAAATAAAAAGATTCCTTTGAAAGTTGGTAGAGCAAGAAGTTTGTTATTTAAGGAAGTTTAAACATACTATTTAAAGTTACAGAAATAAGCAAGGAATCTTCTTCCATGTTATCTAGAGCCTCTGAAAACCCGCTGGAGGGCCAGTTATGAGTCGGTTCTGACTCAACAGTACATAACAACAGTTAATGTAGGCATAATGGGAGAAAGATGAGCAGTCTAGTGCAATTTGTAGCCTCAGTTATACCAGTGGAGGATTTGCGGTGAGTCCGTTTCAACTCAACAGTAACAAAAAAGAAGGAACATTAAGTATGAAAATCTGAGAGAATTTGCAGTTTCAAATAAGTGACTGAATCCCTCTGCTTTTATAATAGAAAGTAAGTAGAAAATATCTGAAGTTGATAAATGAAAAAATAGTGGTGTAAGTATATTATTGGACCCTAAGGAAATAAAACATAAGAAAGAAAACTAGAAATAATTGAAGGTAGTTGTTTGAAGATAGAACTGAGAGTGGAAAGACTGTATTCGGGTACTCATAATTTGGGCCACTTTGAACAAAAAATTTTGGGATCATAAAAAGTAAAATTAGTTATTTTCATTTCATTCTTGAGACTGGGGAGTATATGTAGGCACAGATGCACATGTTTATATGTATTAATTGAGTGTCTCACGAAGACTTATTTTAAGCATTTTTTAATTCCTACAAATGGAACATTTGCATGTAGACGTATGAATTTGTGTGTACATATGTGCATATAAAATAAATTGTAGAAAAAGTAATTCTGAGTAAGATATGAAGTTTCTGATAATTCTTAGCCAGACCTGTAGTCATCAGTCTTCAACTTAAAAAACAATGATTTCAATGAGGTTTTTTTTGGAAAATAATTACTAGAAGACTATATTTTTTATAAACAAACAGCATAAATAAATGAAAGTGATAGTAAGACTCAGTTTAGGCTCTTAGATGTGGCTTTTGACTCTTTAAGGGTAGCCAGTGGGTAATAGCACGGATAGAACTGGGTTAATACTGAAGCTCCACAGTGCAAGTTGGCTACCCAATTTTTCTTGTCTATTTTCTGGCAGGGGGTGGGGGAGAAAAAAAGGTCCTTAAATTTCAACTGGGAACTTGAGATGCTGGAAGCATAGCCTGTAAAATATTTTATTCTTACTATAATAATTTAAGAAGCTATTTTTAGTAGAATTTTATATATAGAAATTGCTTACGCTAGGGATTTTGTGTCTTAAGAGATTCTCCATGAGCTGAGATTTGTGGCTTCTGGATTGTAGGGTTTTGTTTTATTTTGTTTTAAGATTCTTTCTTCTGGGAAAAATATAATAAAAACTTAGATTTATGAGCTCACCTATTTCTTTTTTTTTATACTTAAAAATTACATTTCATTTAATTTGCAGACCAATGGCTTTCCCCCCTATTTAATAATATATTTAAAGTTAAATTAGTATTTCATTTCTTGACTGGAATTTTATTCTTTGTATTAAATGTCTTTATTTTTAATATACCTATTTAATATTAAAATTCAGTGTACAAAGGATTGTTGAATCTTATCCAATAAAAATGTCTATGCCTCTGCAAAGGACTTAGTTTATCCTGCAGACTCTGCCAATTTGCCCTGCTCTTAACAAATATCAAAGTACTCTAGTGGAAAGAAGTAGATTCACTCAAGACTTAAAATTGAGCTACTGTTTTCTTTAAGATCATATAGAAATATGTATGCTGATTCAGCAGCTGAAGTATCATCTGGTCATTCAGTTATAATCTTTCCCTCAATTCAGTGATTTCCAAATACTTTCAGGAAGAAATGTTATAGATAATATACAATGAGTGTATTTTCTGTGCTGCTTCATTTTCCAAAATCACTGTAATGAATTGTGTATTTTTTTTTATTGTAGTGCTGCTTTTGATACAGTCCTTGGGATAAATGTTGCAGTCAAGAAACTAAGTCGTCCTTTTCAGAATCAAACCCATGCAAAGAGAGCTTATCGTGAACTTGTCCTCTTAAAATGTGTCAATCATAAAAATGTAAGTTACTTGTGTACGTATTTCTTCTGTGCACTAATATGATAATCTTCAGAGTCTTTTGACAATACATTGAATTTAGACCTAGAATAAATTAGGAATTAATAAAAACCCCATCAGAGTGGATACTTATGAACACTGCATTGGAACAGATGAAAGGAAGAACTGTCCAAAAGGAATATATGATTAGGCATTATATGTATGACAACAATGTGGAACAAGAGGTACATTGCAAAGTGGACAAGGGGAGGAAGAAGGAAAGGGAAGGGAAGAAAATGAGCAACAAGGAATGAATTTTAAAAAAAGAAATAGATATATTTTATTGGCAAATTGTTAATTGAAACTTGGGAAAATTAAAGTTAGAAAAAGGGCCATGACCCTCTTTTATGGGCCAAAGAAATTTATGTCATTCGACTAAGATAATAATGTCAATTAGCCTTGTAACCATTTGACTTCTGTTAATTCTGTTTCTATAACGTAGAAACAGTACTAACTTAATTGAGAAGCAATTAAATATTTTCTTAAAAGCATTGTGCTAGTAAGTAACTTTATAGCTTGTAATACAGGAATCTTAGTTTTAAGTAAATACTACAAGGTGGTTTTACAATTATGATAGCTTAGTTGGCTTCACTCTAGAAACCAGAGTATTGTGAATTTTGAGGAAAATTAGTGTATATTTAGAAATGAGATTACACAGGCATGATGGTTTCCGAGCATTGTTTTTTATAACCTTACCGTATTATAAAACCATAAAATGTTAAATCTAGAAAGAACCTTAAAAATCACTTTATATAGCCCACATTTTAAAAAAATAATAGTTCTGACTGAGAAAGATGGGATAAATAATGTATACTGCATTGAATCAGATAAGGAAGACAACTGTTAAAAAGGGTTATATGATTGGGTATTATTGTCATGACAGGCGTCCAGAACAAAAGTTGCATAGTGGAGTGGACCTGGGGGGAGGGATTGTAAAACAATGAAAGAATTTTTCTTTTACTTTTCAAAGAGAGGCATGTACTGGGAGGGGAGGGGAGTTGAGAGACGAGAAAAGTTAGTACAACAATGCATGAATGGAAATCCAAAGTCTCTGTAAATTTTCATTAAAATTAATAATAAAAAAATTAAAAAAATATTTCTGAGTATACTAAATTGTTACTTTATTTTAGCATTTATGCTGGACATTAAATACAAAACTAAATTCTTTTTAAACTGCAGTTTTATTTAATTTTTTAATTTCCCCATGGCATGCTTTATTTGTTTTTCAGTGTTTTCAAGTTATCAGAAATGCATATTCTCTTAATTCTTAATGATAAGAAATTGTGCTGCTAGCACAAAGGTATCTGGTTCTAATCCACCAGATGCCCTGTGAAAGAATGATGGACAGTTTCCTCCTATGTGATTTACTGCCATGAGAGGGTCAGCTGTGGTTCAGTTCCAACTCCACAGGATACAACAACAAAAACATGCACAAGAAATAAAAATCCACAAATCTCACAACCCACAGATCACCATCGTTAACATTTTGTCAGCATTTTATGCATATATGTGTGCATATGGACAAACAAGAGTCTGGACATCATACCATTCTGCCTCTTAATGCTCTGTTTTTTAGCTCATGCTGCAAGTTCCTAAATCTCATACATGGTAATTTATATAGTATATATGTTGTTGTTGTTGTTATGTGCCGTCGAGTCGCTTGCGACTCATAGCAACCCTATGTACAACAGCCCTAAACTCCGCTCTGTCCTGTGCCAATCGCACTGTCTCTGACACTCCTATCCCAATTATCCCAGTCACTGAATCAATCCACCTCATAGAGGGCCTTCCCCTCCTACGCTGTCCCTCCACCCTACCAAGCATGATGTCCTTCTGCAAGGACCAGTCTCTCCTCACAACATGTTCAAAGTATGTTAGACGGAGCCTCAGAATCCTTGCCTCCAAGGAGCCACCCGGTTTAACCCTATCCAGGACTAATCTGTTTGTTTTCCTAGCAGTCCATGGTATTCTCAATACTCTTCTCCAACACCACAGCTCAAAGGCATCAATTCTCCTTCTATCCTCCTTGGTCATTGTCCAACTCTCTGATGCATAACAAGTGATTGCGAAGACCATGGCCTGTATCAGACGCACCTTAGTCTCCAGAGAGACAACATTGCTTTTCAGTACTTTGGAGAGGTCCCTAACAGCAGACTTTCCCATGGCAGTGCGCCTTTTCATTTCCTGGCTGCTGGTTCCAAGACTGTTGACTGTGGAGCCAAGCAAGCTAAAGCTGTGCACAACCTCAATCTCTTCACCATCCATCCTGATGCTGCCAATTGGTCCAGTGGTGAGAATCTTTGTCTTCTTGACATTGAGCCTCAATCCATATTGTAGGCTGCAGTCCTTGACCCTCTGCAGCAGGCGCTTCAGGTTTTCTTCAGTTTCAGCAAGCAAGGTTGTGTCATCCGCATTTATATAGCATCTTTTTAATGGCTGCTTAGTATAGATGCCCTATAATTTGTTGAACTAGTCAGCTATTGGTGAATATTTCACTTGTTTCCATTATTTTGCTGTTATAAGCAGTACTACAGGGAAAATCCTCATGGATGCACCTTTGTCCAGTGAGCCAAGATTTTTTCACTGAGAACTGCTGTGTCAGAAAATATGCACCCTTCTGTGCTGACAAATTGACTTCAAGGTCAATTGTGACTATCAATTTAATATTTTCATTACGAGTACTCTCTCATAGATGACAAATGATATTTTTATTTGTAAGTTTAAATTTCTTTCAATAAATTTATTAGTTACTTAATTTTTCTTAAGAATGTAATTTTCATGACCTTTGTCTATTTTTCTCTTAGACCATTGCCCCCTGTACATATAGTCTCTGTATATTAAAATTATTTTTGTGTTAATCATTTATGTGCTTTTTGCCATACTAAAGTTTTTGCTTCTTTGTCCTTGTGTTTGTTTTAATGTAATAGAATTTAATAGGTTTTCTGTAGTATTTAGAAAAGCCTTTCTACACCAAGATTATATAAAATGTCTGTTCATATGATGTCATGTTCAGAGTTGTGGTTTTAATTATCTTGGTCTAAAGATTGATGTCTGGACCTAGTTTTACTTTTTCCCCCCTGGACTACCCTATCATATTAATCCCATTTACTGAGAAATTTGTCTTCCCCTCCTTTGAAATGTTGAAGGGTATGCATCCACCAGTGGGACTTGGCTTCTCCTACCTCATGGAGGGAATGTCAGCAAGAGACTCATCAGATGTTTAATCAGCTAGATCTCTGATGTTGAAGTACATGAACAGTACTCAAACCTTTTTATCCTTTTCACGCCAAAATTACAAATTTAGCCTTTATACTTTAAAATTTTTAAAAGTTTGTACATAGCATTTACATTTTCAGAGTTAACCTATCTCTTTACTTAGTGTTTTTTCTGCCCATAATTTCTACCATTTTTTTTTATGTTTGGAGACAGAACTATTGTATGTTTAAATTCTATAATAATAATTTAAATTATGAAGAACAATTAAAAGTGATTGATTGAAAATGCATTTTATTTCCAAGGTGAGATTCTTAACTATTTTTTTCAAAATACCACATAATAGAATGGTTTGTTAAAAATAATGATCATCTCTGCTGTGATTATTACCCCTTGAAGTTTTAATACATTTTAATGTTAAACTTAATTTTTATAATCAGTAGAGTCATCTGGCATACTGAGGTATAATTAATTTTCTCTTTTCAGATAATTAGTTTGTTAAATGTGTTTACACAACAAAAAACTCTAGAGGAATTTCAAGATGTGTGAGTATCATTTTTATTCAGTAATGCACTATGCATCAAAATTGGACATTTATAAAGAAAATAATTGCTTTTATCTACTTAGGAAGTGGCAATCGAAAACATTTTTATTGATCTTGTTGCTTTTCTCTATGGAAGAGAAATAGTAAAAAATAGATGAGTAATATCCAGCTATTTGTAATGAAACTAGCAGGTCATAATTTCCATAACAGATAAAGGGTTACTGAAAAGAATTATTCAGAGCTGACACTATTAATGCCTCATTAATGCCACTGATCTGCTGAATAATGATATTTTTGCTGAAATATGTTCTCCATTTTCCTGACAGCCAGAATCATAGGATTCATGTCTTTACAATTACTATTTGAAATAATTAAGCCATTAAAAATTGTTTGTTTTTCCAAAATTTCAGCTGTTTTACCAAACAAAAAATGAAATGAAGCAATAATTTAGTTTATTATTAATTTGAGGCATAATGTTCAGCCTCATTCTGAGGGCCCTAATTGTATTCACTCACTTAACAAATATTTATTGTCTTACTACTGGCATACTTAATAAGCAAAGCAGGCAAAAAAAATCCCCTTTATTAAATAAGACATATACTTCATAATATTTTTTCCTGTTCCATGATATTTTCCTGAGGTAGACAATAAATATAGTAAGTAAAGACATTATATGGTCAGTTAAAATGTGGTAACTGCTATGGAGAAAAGTTAGAACTGGGCCACGAGATCAGATGTGCTTTAAGTTGAGGGTCAGCTTGCAGTTTTAAATAGTGTGATTGGAAAACCATTTGAAGAACACCTTAAACGCAATGAGAGTGTCAGTAGTATATAAAGACTTAGAGGAAGATTAAGTCAAGGCAGAAGAAATAAACAGGGGAAAGGAACTGAAACATTATGGACATCAAGGAGGCCAGTGTTGTTGGAATAGAGGGAGAGTGGAGACATGGAGAGAGCTCAGAGAAGAGATGTTTGGGCCAGACTTCTTCGGAGTTGTAGGCCTTTGTAAGAATATTGGCTTTTATTCTTAAGAGACGCCAGAATAAAATTTTAAGCAGAAGTATCCTAACTTGACTTTAGTTTAAAGGAATAACGCTAGCTTCAAGGTTGATAGTCTATTGTCAGAGAAGATGGCAATGAATGCCAATTAAGAAGGTGCTGTAGCCATTCTTGTGAGTGACTAATGGCTCAGCGTGGCTCAGACCAGTAGACTAGTAGTGAGGTGAAGCAAAGAGATCAAATGCTGTAACTGTTTTGAAGGTAGAGTCATAATATTTTCTGATGAATATGAGAGAAAAAGAGGAATCAACAATGGCACCATGATTTTTGAACTTCATACCTGAAAGATGAAGTTGTATCAGCTGAGATGAGGAAGCTGCAGAAGAAAAGGCATGACAAGAAAACAGAATCAGGAATTCCGTTTTGGCTGTAGATGTTCAAGTGTTTGTTGGAGATCCAAGTGGAAATGTGAAGCAGGCAGTTCGATTTAGGGAGGGAGGTCTGGGCTGAAGATAAAGATTTGAAGTTGATAGTTGATAATATTTAGAGATGTGATAGTAGAGATTACCAAGGAAATGAATTTAGTTAGAAGAAAAGAGGGTCAGTGACTGAACACTGAATACCCCAAGCAGTAAGGAATCAGAAAGAGGAGGAGATTCTAGCCAAAAGGACCAAGGGAAGAAGGGAAAAGGAGCGGGAAGGTGACGCCCTGGAAGACAAGGGAAGGTAATATGTCTAGAAGGTGCACATAATGGTCTATGTGGTCAAGTAAAGACTTCCCATTGGATTTAGCAACATGTCATTGATGACCTTGAGGAAGATATTTTCAACAGAGTGATGAGGGCAAAAGCCTAGAAGTAGCATTTAAAAAGATGAGAGAAGAATTGGAAATAATGAGAATGGTCACATCTTTTAGGAGTTTTGCTACAAAGAGAGTGGAGAAAAATAGGGCAGGAACTAATGTGCAAAGGAGTAAGTTTTTAGGAGAAAAACCAGCATAGTTTGTGTACTGGTGAAGATGAGTCAATACCAAAGCAATTATGATATAGGAGAATTTTAATGTATGAAATTCACCTTGATGTAAAAATTCTTTTGTCTTTAGATTGGAAGACATTGTACAACGTAGTGGTTTATAGCCTTTGGAAATATTTACAAAATCTCATTAAGCATTTACATCTTTTCTAAAAATGTTTTAGAAAAACAAGTAATCTTTTTTTACTTTACCAGTGCAGTGATAAGAAAGGAAATTGTTATTGTTTTATAAAACTGTGATTGGATAACTGTAGAGGTGCATTTTTTCTTAATTTCATGTATACGTAATGGATTTTTTTCCCCCTCAGGTATTTGGTTATGGAATTAATGGATGCTAACTTATGTCAGGTTATTCATATGGAGTTGGACCATGAAAGAATGTCCTATCTTCTTTACCAGATGCTTTGTGGGATTAAACATCTTCATTCAGCTGGTATAATTCATAGAGTAAGTAATGACATTATATTAATCTTATTTTCAAAATTAGAATCCTTTTGTTGTTGTAATCCTTCAGAAACAAGAGTTTACTAGGTCAAGGGTTTTTGGTCAGTGTTGAAGATCTAAATAGACTATAAGATTGTGTTGTGTTTCAGAATATTACTGCATTTAGACAATGCTTGTAGAGCACCTGATTTGCCCAGATTACCTGCTAGCCACTGTGGGTGCAGGGATAAAGGAGGGGCTACTCAGCTCTGGTCTTGTTGCTGCTCAGATTATATTGTGGCAGATTTTGTTCTTAAAAACTTCATTTTGACATAATTTTCACCAGATTATTTTATTGTTATTCTGTCATATTTGAAAACTCATTTTTTAAAAATAATTTATTTATTTTTCATTTCAATGAACATCTGCAGAGATTTTGGAATTCCATTCATTCACTGTTGCACCCTTCTCCCCGCCCACCCACCACAACACCCCCTCCCCCTTTTGCTCCTCTCCTTGAAAAGCAAAACTCCCTCATTGGTACACAATCACCCCCGCACCTCCCCCAATCCCACCCCCAAGCCCAAATATAATCCACTCTGCAACCCTCATTGCGTACTCCTACGATAAACATAATGCCCTAAAATGTAATACTTTTAAACTATTCTCTCCCTCATAGACTTCAATGCCATAAACATATTTCATCCAGTTTTTCTGTCTTACCCCCACCCCGATGCCAGCCTCATTCTACAACAGTGGCACCATATAGCATTTGTCCCTTTGTGACTGAGATACCTCACTCAGCATAATGTCCTCCAGGGTTACCCATTTTGAATAATATTGCAAGAGTTTTGAGAGGGCTGAGGAGAAGAGTTAAGAGGTCAAGAAGAAAAACAAATCAGTTGCTTGAGAAATCTTACTCCAGTTCTGCCCCAAATACCTATTTCTATCATCCTAAAATTTGGTCACTTCCTTGTCCACTAGTGGGAATGCCCCACTCTAAAACCTGTTTGAATGACCCCAACTATCCTCTTCCCTAGTTAGAAAGTGGGAATTGAAAGGAAAATATTACCTATTCTGTCAAGATGTACTATTTAAAAACCAAGGAGATAGAATTCTCTAATAAGCTGGTTGATGCAGGGTAGGTTCTGTTCTGCTGTTCAGAGAGTCACTGTGAGTCTTGTAACAACATGCTGTTTTTTTACCTTTTTCTTTAAATTGTATACTATATAAGTAGTACATCATGATAAGTATTTTTAAATTATGGTAAAATGTATGTAATAAAAAATTTTTTCCATTTTAACTTTCTTTAAATATACAACTTTCTGGCACTATTTACTTCCACTGTGTTTTACAACAATCATTAGTATTTATTATTATGGTTTTCATTACCCCAAAAAGTTCCCATTAAGCAATAACTCCTCTAGTTCTCTCTTGTACCACAATTGGTAATTACTAATAAATTTTTGTCTTTATACATTTTACCTATTCTAGATTTCATAGGAGTATGGTTCTATACTATCTATCCTTTTCTGACTTATTTCACTTAGCATAAAAGTTTACCCATGTATCAGGACTTCATTTCTCTTTAATAATACTATTCCAGAGAGAGGGGTGAGGGGAGGGAGGAAGGGAATGGATGGGAGAGAGAGAAAGAGAAAGAATATATGAGAATTCTACTACATTTTCTCTATCCATTCACTTCTTGATGGTTGTGTTGCTTTTACCTTTTGAATACTGTGAGTTCTTTTGTCTGCAGTGAACATTGTTGTGTACAAGTATTGGTTGGGCTCTTGCTTTCAAGTCACTTGAGTGAAATTGCTGAATTAGGTGGTAAATATGTTTTCTCTTTTAAGAAATGATAGAATTTTTTTATAATGTGATTTGAGTGAAAGTTTGTAGCTCAAATTGATCTTCCACTCAGGTATTTATACAAATAGTATTTTTTAGACAGTTAAGATTATGAGTGAGACTAGAGGAGAGTTAATTTTATTGGCATTAGGTATTTGTTGTTGTTGTTGTTAGGTACTCTCGAGTTGACTACAATTCATAGCATCTCTATGAACAACTCTAAACTTTGCCTTATCCTATGTCACCAACAAGATTTCTCATATGCTTGAGCCCATTGTGAAAATCACTGTTTTAGTCCTACTAATTTTGTCGGCAGGTGGTTTTTAGATTTTTTTTTTAAAAAAATTATCTTAAAAATATCTTTTTTTCTCTCTGAATTATACATTTGTCTATAGGGAGCAAGAGTGAGAAGAGAAAGCTGCAACTTATTAATAGAAGAATAGTTTGATTATTGGTTGTGTAGTATTACTAATTATTTCATATCCATTTAGGCTCCAGGAAAGGTAGGTCCCATTACAGCCATTGAGAGAGGCCAGACAAAGTTCTGCCCTGGCCCATCCCCAAGAGCATCAGGTCAGGGGCGTGAGGAGTCTGATGCTGATACTTCTTGTCGTCCCAGTGCCTGTCAGGACCTGGCTCACTGTTGCCTACCTGACTAACCAACTAAGGTGTACTTAAAATAGAGCGTTATGCTGCCACCAAGTGTTCAGTTAAAGACAAAAATTATGTTACTGATTTTGCTTTCAAAACAGGAATGCTAGTCTTATAATTAAGGAGAAGGATGGGCAGTCTCCTCCTGTGTGGTTAAACTGCCTCTAAAAACCCTCTGGAGGGTCAGTTCTGACTTGACGGTAGACAACAACAGCAGTCTTTACAATCAGGGGAGCCCTCAACATCAAGAAAAGAAAAATTCTCACCACTGGTCCAATTGGCAGCATCATGATAGGTGGAGAAATGATTGAGATTGTAACAATTACAGCTTGTTCAAACCCACAATCAACACTCTTGGAATCAGCAGCCAGGAAATCAAAAGACAAATTGCATTATTAGAAGTCTGCTGTCGGGGCATCTCCAGAGTGCTGAAGTGCAGAGATGTCAGTTTAGAGACTAAGGTGCACCTTATCCAGGACATGGTCTTCATAATTACTTGCTATGCATCAGAGAGCTGGACAGTAACCAACGATGACAGAAGAATTGATGCCTTTGAGTTGTGGTGCTGGAGAAGAGTATTGATCATACCATGGACTGCCAAGAGAACAAATAGGTCTTGCCTGGAGAGGGTGAAACCAAGCTCCTCTTTAGAGGGTAAAAGCAAGCTACTCTCTGGTGGCAAGGATTTTAAAGCCCTGTATTACATACTTCGTGCATGTTGCCAGGAGGGACTAGTCCTTGGAGATAGATGCCATGCTTGGAAAGGTAGAGGGACAATGCAGGAGAGGAAGAACCTTCATGAGATGGATTGACACAGTGACTGGAGTAATATGGACAGGTATATCAGAGACTGTGAGAATGGCTCAGGATAGGACAGGTTTCAGAGCTGTTGTACATAGGTTCACTGTGAGTCACAGGTGACTTGACAACACATAACAACAATGACCTAGTGCTACTGTTAGGCATTGGCAAAAAAACAAGGCCCCAGGAATCAATTAAATACCCATTGACATGTTTTAAGTAATAAATGCAGCCCTGCATGTGCTCATAGTCTATACCAGGAAATTTGGAAGATGGCTGTCTGGCCAGCTGACTGGAAGAGGTCCATATTTGTTCCTATTCCCAAGAAAGGTGATCCAATAGAATGTCGAACCTATCAAACAATGTCATTAATATCACATGAAAGCGAAATATGTCTGAAGATCATTTAAAAAATGGCTGGAACAGTACATAGATAGGAAACTTTCAGAAGTTCAAACAGGATTTAGAAGAGGCCATGGCACCAGGGATATCATTGCTGATATCAGATGGATCTTGGCTGAAAGTAAAGAATACCAGAAGAACATTTATTTATGTTTTTGACTATGCAGAGACATTTGATTGTGTGGAGCATGGCCAACATAGAGGAGAATGGGAATCCCAGAGCAGAATGGGAATCCCAGAGCATTTAATTGTGCTCATATGAAACCTATACCTAGACCAAGAGGCTTTTGTACACACAGAGCAAGGGAACACTTGTTGTTATGTGCCGTCAAATCACCTGCAACTCATAGCAACGCTATGTACAACAGCTCTGAACCCTGCTCTATCCTGAGCCAACATTACTGTCTCTGACACACCTACCCCCTTTACACCAATCACTGAGTTAATTCATCTCATCGAGGGTCTTCCTTCCTGTACTGTCCCTCCACCCTCCCAAGCACTACATGGTTTAAAATTAAGAAAGGAGCTTGTATGGGTTGTATCCTCTCTCCATACCTATTCAGTTTGTATGCTGAACAAATTATTCAAGAAGGTGGTCTTTATGAAGAAGACTGTGGCATCAAGATTGGAGAAATACTTAGAAATACCCTGTGTTATGGAGATCACACAATCTTGCTTGCTGAAAGTGAGTAGGTATTGAAGCACTTGTTTCAAAGATCAAAGAATACAGCCTTCAATATGGACTTCATCTCAACTTAAAAAAACCAAAAATTCTTACCACTGCAGTATTATAGATCAACATCATAATATATGGAGAAAAGAGTAAAGTGGTCAGTGATTTCATCTTACTTGGATGCACGATCAACACCCTAGGTACCAGCAGTCAGGAACTCAGGAGAATTAGTGCACCTGGATAGTCTACAATCAGGGACCTCTCCTAGGTTAGTGAGGACCATTGGTGTCAGTTTGAGGGCTAAAGTGCATCTGAATCAGGACATTGTCTTTCTTTATTTTCCCCCCTCTCTCTTTTTTAAATTTATTATTAATTCCAATGAAAATTTGCAGAGACTTTGGGTTTCCATTCATTCATTGTTGGACTTTTCTCCCCTCCCAACCCTCCTCCCTAGTACACTACTCTCTTGGAAAAGTAAAAGAAAAATTCTTTCATTGTTTTACAAAGCCTCCCCCAGGTCCACTCCACTCCTTGCTCTGGACTCCTGTCATGACAAAAATACCTAATCACATATCCCTTTTAAACAGTTTTCTTCCTTATCTGTTTCAATGTAGTATACATTATTGAACCCATCTTTCTTAGTCTC